CACTCCAGCCTTTCCTAATACATAAACAAATATAAGATTATATCGAATGTTTCGAACATGTAAAAACATTACTAAGTGAGAGGGTTTTCCCATAAGTAAGTTTGAGAAGAATTTTCCTCTTTCCCAAAACAGGAGTAGAGCGGGAATCACCAAGGTAAACACATTCTTCTCCATCCCTCACTGTTAGGTATTCATAGAAAGAATTTCTATCTCCACAAATATGTTTTGTGGCCCCATAATCAATTATCCATTATTTCTTTTTAGCAATCATGTTCACTTGTGAGACAACCACAACAACAATAACATCACCTCCCTCAGCCAAATTGGCTTTAGGAGGATTTTTGTTGTCTCTAGTTTTTCTATATCTGCATTGGCTAGCAAAATGTCCGGTTTTCCCACACACAAAACAGTGTCCTTTCTTTTTGAAAGTGTTAGGGTTCTTTTTGTTAAACAATTTCTTGTTATTGTTCTTAATAACTCTGTAGTTTCTTGTTCTTAGGTTGATGAGGAGCCACTCGGTTTTCAACAACATTAGCCTTGGATGTCAATTCCTTGGCCTTATCGGCTTTATCTCTAAGCCTATTCGTCTCCTCAATCCTAATATGTACTATCACATCTTCTAAGCTCATTTGCTTCCTTTTATGTTTCATACTATTCTTATAATCTCTCCATGAATCTGGAAGTTTCTCAATTAAATAACTAGCCACAAAAGTTTAAGGAAGAATTAATTCTTCATTTTTTAGGTCATTTATCAATAAATGATAGTCATGGACTTGCATGGATACCTCTTTTTCTTCTACCATTTTAAAATCTAGGAAGTTTCCTATAGCATATATTTGTGATTTAGCATCCTCAACAACATATTTCTTTTTCAGGATTGTCCATATCTCATGTGCAGTTTTATAAGCGCAATAAACATCATAAAGCTCATTCGATAATGTACTGAGGATAGTATGACGACATACCTTATTTCCTTTCTTCCATGTGTCAAGTTTTTGATCAAAATTGTCTACTCTAGGTTTTGGTTCTTCTGATGTGAAATACTCTGCAAAACTGAGCACGTCTAGGGAGTCGAATACTTTTTCTTGCCACCTCTTGAAATGAGCTCCGACAAAGGGCTGAATTAATTTTTATAAATTAGGTACAAAGTTTGTAGAAATTTGCAAGTCACGGACATAAGTTCCAAATCGTTCAATTGAGGGATATAAGTTCCAAACATGGGGCGATAAATATGTAATTATATAGATTTAAATTATTCCTTTTTAAAAATAAATTAAATCTAGAATAAAATTTTTAAAATCTAAAAATATCATCAAATTCAGAAACCGTAGAAGAAAACAAAGAAACAATTAAATAATTGAAAACTTTGTAGGCTAATTAATAATCTCCCTTCTGATAAATATTTTTACATCGACATAGTAAGATAAGTACTTGACAAAGTTTGTAGAAATTTGCAAGTCACCGACATAAGTTCCAAATCATTCAATTTAGGGATATAAGTTCCAAACATTCAATTAGGGTTTTATTAACTTTGTGGGGCGATAAATATGTAATTATATAGATTTAAATTATTCCATTTTAAAAATAAATTAAATCTAGAATAAAATTTTTAAAATCTAAAAATGTCATCAAATTCAGAAACCATAGAAGAAAAAAAAGAAACAATTAAATAATTGAAAACTTTGTAGGCTAATTAATAATCTCCCTTGTGGTAAATATTGTTACATCGACATAGCAAGATAAGTACTGGACAAAGTTTGTAGAAATTTGGAAGTCACGAACATAAGTTCCAAATCGATCAATTTAGGGATATAAGTTCCAAACATTCAATTAGGGTTTTATTAACTTTGTGGGGCGATAAATATGTAATTATATAGATTTAAATTATTCCATTTTAAAAATAAATTAAATCTAGAATAAAATTTTTAAAATCTAAAAATGTCATCAAATTCAGAAACCATAGAAGAAAAAAAAGAAACAATTAAATAATTGAAAACTTTGTAGGCTAATTAATAATCTCCCTTGTGGTAAATATTGTTACATCGACATAGCAAGATAAGTACTGGACAAAGTTTGTAGAAATTTGGAAGTCACGAACATAAGTTCCAAATCGATCAATTTAGGGATATAAGTTCCAAACACTCAATTAGGGTTTTATTAACTTTGTGGGGCGATAAATATGTAATTATATAGATTTAAATTATTCCTTTTTAAAAATAAATTAAATCTAGAATAAAAATTTTAAAATCTAAAAATACCAACCAATTCAGAAACCGTAGAAGAAAACAAAGAAACAATTAAATAATTGAAAACTTTGTAGGCTAATTAATAATCTCCCTTTTGATAAATATTTTTAGGATAATGTTATTTGTACAAATTCTTTGTACATAAATAGTTTGTACGAACTTACGTGGCACACCACAAAGCATGCTATATGATATTGAGACCCACGCAACTTAATGTCGCATTAATATTATGTGGACCCTTATGCACGTGGCACTCACATTGAGTGTCAGGTAAGTTTGTACAAACTCTCTTTGTACAAAGAGTTTGTACAAATAGTATTACCCATATTTTTATATCAACCCCTGTAAAAAAAAAAAAAAAAAGGTCGTTAATAAAATTATAAGCAATACTAGTTTTACAAAGACACATACAAAGGGGGCATACACAGACAATCCTCACCCTTGATTTTTATGATTTTTCTCTCTCTCTCTCTTTCTCTTTTTCCGTTTTTTCTTTATTTTTTTCTTCGGGATGATATCACTTTGTAGCCTTCTTTGTATGAGTCTTTGTGAGGATAACATTTTTCTAAAATTATTAAACGAAGCCCTAGGTCCCAAATTATTATCGTTAAAGTCTAGAATGCCCTCATGATTCCTCTTTAACTTTACGAAATCCGGATCGTGCCAGTGGCTCCAAATTTGAAAATTTGAAATACCAAACCTCGAACGGTCATCAGAATCAAATGTACTTCATCCCAGCCGTTCATCCACTCTACTATCCACCATCCGATCTATCCTCACTCTCATTTCAATTTTTTTCTTTCTAACCAAACACCATTCCTTCATTTCTCTCCAAAGTCCCAAAATCTCGCTTACTTTTTCCTCTTCAAAACCCTGAACATCATTTTCTCTTCTAGAACTTAAACGACATGCCGTTTATATCGGAGACGGCGAGCGCAATAAAGAGCAGGTTCGGTTTCCACAGCCGTTCCGCTTCCTCGGAGACCGTGCCGTCGGTGCGGACATCTCCTGACCTTTCTGTCAAGTCGGCGGTGAGAGAGAATCCTTATGGCCAGTCGCAGACTGCAACGTCGACAGTTCGTAGTATCGGTGACTTGGAGGACAATGCCGCCGCCAGCGCTGGTTCATCTCAGATCTTCGAGGTTAATGAAGATCCATCTTTCCGGAAAGACCACAACGTTCAGGTAAGTTTTGCTCATTTTTAGTGAAACTATGTCATTTTCCTTTTGATGCAGTGAACAAGCTTCTAGACTACATAAATATTATATTATAAATTCTTTTGCCGTTCTCTTTTTTTTTTTTTTTTTTTTTTTTTTCTTTGTATTTTTTTTTTTTTTTTTTTATATATATATTTTAATTTGGCGATTATTACTTGTAGGTAATTATAAGGATTCGTCCTCTCAATAATTCTGAAATATCGGTACAAGGGCACAGCAAGTGTATTAGGCAAGAGAGTTGTCAGACAATTACTTGGACGGGGCATCCCGAGTCACGTTTTACTTTTGACCTTGTTGCCGATGAGAATGTCAGCCAGGTACCCTTTTTTGGCTCGTTGGATTATGTTGCTGTTGAATCCCCTTTGGTGTATGGTGTATTTCATTCGAGTAATGTAACAGGAGAAGTTGTTCAAGGTGGCTGGCTTGCCCATGGTGGAGAATTGCGTGGCAGGTTACAACAGTTGCATGTTTGCTTATGGCCAAGTGAGTTTTGTAATTAATTGTATTACTTGATTGAAAGTTTCAGCATGGTTGGTTTAATGTATGTCAAGTTATTTGATTTAGTTTGGTACTTTTCTTACAGACTGGTAGTGGGAAGACTCACACCATGCTTGGAGATATTGAGGGAGGCACCCANGGCTTTTCCATGTATAACCGCTGTAGGATTTCTTTTAAGTTACTAATTCCTTTTTGGGTTGGGCTTAGGAATAAGAATCCTTGTAAAACTAGGTTTAATCTCTTAAACCTAGTATATAAACATACTTTTCTCTTGTTATGTGTGAGAGAGCAATTCATTCATTGTAAACGAGCGAGGTGAGGCATATTGCAATAATATTGACTCAGCTGGACGTAGCCCACATTGGGTGAACTAAGGTAAATCGCGCGTATTATTTTTCTTTGTTTACTGTTTATTTTGTTTTACTATTATATTTTGTTCCTGTTGTTGTCTCTATTTCGTTCAATGGGAACATATAAAAAGGTCTAGATAAGAAACAGTTTTCTAAACTTTGGGAATTTATTAGCTGGGGAAATGCAGTGCAATGATCATATTATTCTGAAAGTTTTTCAAAATGAAGCCGTGAGTAATTTTTTATGCTAAAATCATTTGATTGCGCCGTTTAGGTTTTACTTTCTTATTTTCTCTCTTCCTATTGAATCTTATTATTCATTGTGTTTATATGACACAAACTATCATATTTCTTTTTTCAAAATATTATTGCCCATAGGAAACAGGAATTTAAATAGACATTTACTCTTTAGGTATTAATTCAAGTTTTGGGTGAGAGATGGTTAATTAAAACTGAAAATTGTTTCAGGGTGCTGCAAATCGAAAAGTTGCTGCCACAAATATGAACCGTGCCAGTAGTCGTTCTCATAGTGTTTTTACATGTGTAATTGAAAGTAAGGTGTGTAACTGTTTATTAAGCTATTTTCTTCTGTTTCTACATTTACTTTGAATTCTCAATAATTTTTAGATATATTTTCTTGAATTTAGATTAATGTGAATTTATTTGTTTAATTGAATGTTCATTAACAGTGGGAATCGCAAGGTGTAACTCACCATCGGTTTGCTCGGCTTAATCTTGTTGATTTAGCGGGCTCTGAAAGGTATAAGGATATAGAAAAAGATTTTTGAGATTGATAAAGAATCTAATAGCATCATTCGTATTGATTTCAGTTGTGTTTTTGGTCTGATAACAGGCAGAAAAGTTCTGGTGCTGAAGGAGAACGTCTCAAGGAAGCTACTAATATCAACAAGTCTCTTTCGACATTGGGGTATGCTGTCCTCACCTGTAAACCACTCTTTGTTAATGAAATATATGACTAGTTTGGTGATTTTAATCTTCTGTATTGACATTGGCAGACTTGTGATTATGAACCTTGTAAACGTATCCAATGGGAAGTCCCTCCATGTTCCTTACCGTGATTCAAAGCTTACATTTTTGCTTCAGGTAGACTGCCATTGCAGATTGAAAATAATCTATGAAGCAAATTCTGATACTCTATTGATGGATTATACAACATTAATTGCTAATAATAAAAAATAAGGCATATTAGTATGTGATCTGGTATATCATTATTCTTGCTCCAATTCCATGCTTTACAAAATCTTGTTCAATTTGATTTTGTAAGGTTCATAGAACCACTTTTCTTTTATCTGTGTTTTTCGATTTAAGATGTTCAAAGTTTACTACTATATGGTTTTGAAGATAGAACCAGAAATTTTTCTGTTTATATTTCATGGTTTAAGATTGTTTAGCTAATTAGATATTTGGCGGTTTGTAGTTTTGTGATCATCTATGTTTTTCAGAACATAAAGGTGCTATATGCAAATAAATTTCAAAATTTGTTTACTAAGGACTTTTTTAATGTCCTGTATAATCTGAAGATATACAACAGCATATCCAATTCTCATTCTCATTGTTTTGTTTTCAGGATTCACTTGGAGGGAATTCAAAAACAACGATAATTGCAAATATCAGTCCATCCACTTGGTCAGTCAATACTATATTTATTGTAATCCTGCTTAAAGTTGTAGTTTGTGCATCCATATACATAAAACTGTTTAAGAATTCTGGAAGTAACTTCTGCTTTTGAAATTTCTTGTAAAAATTGCATTTCTAGTTGAAATCAGTTCACTTAGATATTCGTTTCAACAAGCTTGATTTGTTGTTTAAATGCTGATACATGACAAATTTTTGGGTCGCTTGCAGCTGTTCACTGGAGACACTTAGCACTTTGAAGTTTGCACAACGTGCCAAGTTTATTAAGAACAATGTATGTGAACGTGACTGGTCAGTTTTCTTATTATTTTTTGGTTTAAGTCAACAAATGTAGAAGGCTATGACATTCAAGACTTTGCGTGCACAAAAGCGTATATGTTTATGTGGCTAATCAAATTAAACTATTCAATGTTGTTGCTGGTTGTTCTTCTTCTCTCTATTTTTTTTTTCTTTTTTGGAAGAATAGGTAAAGTCATTACGCAATCTTTAATTGGGGTTTCATCTAATACTTTTAGCTTTTATTTCTTGCTCATGGAAAGTTACTTTTAATATTCTGCAGGCAATTGTAAATGAGGATGCTTTAGGTGATGTTATTTCTATGCGATTGCAGATTCAACAGCTCAGGGTATTGTGCTTAATTTTTTATTCTTCCCCTTGCTTGATTATATTCTGGAAATGGAGTGAAGTGGTTAGCGTTATTTTAGATTTTATGTTGTGGCTTTTTTGACTTGATGTTTGTCTTACAAGGTAAAGTTTGGTTTTTTGAAGTACAAATTGACCTAAGATAGCTTATTGGAAATTTTGGACAAGAATCATTTCTCTTTCTCAAGAATTTACTTATTGTTCATTGTGGTTAGTCACTATTTAAAATTATCCATCGGATGGCTAAGCTAAAAATCTTCTAAGCTATATAATTAATTAGTCTTTTTTGCTGAACTACAGAATGATAATTAATTTATTCCTAGATGAAATCACTGTTTAGCTGTAGGAAGAACAGAACAAATAGATTGTTTCATTTGATCCTTAAGAAAGAAATTATCAGTGTTATATTTAATATTGTTCTCCCTGGCCTAAAAGTTCTGTTTGTTATTGTCTTATCTCATTTTTGAAGATTTTGATTTGCTCTTCCATACCTCAACTGTAGTTTTATTTTTTCAGAAAGAAGTATCTCGTTTACGGGGTCTAGTAAATGGAGGAGCTGAAAATCTGGTTAATGATACTTCTATCATAAGCTTTCCAGGCTCTCCAGGATCCTTTAAGTGGGAAGGGCTTCATGGATCCTTTAGTCCACTTACATCGGATAAAAGGATGTCACAGGTGAGCTCCGTAATTTTTTTGAAATATAAGAAATCATCTGTTTAGTATGTTTTGTTTACCAGTTTGTTTCTCTCACTGGTTTTTTTCCTTTCTACAGAAGAAAGACTATGAGCTTGCACTTGTAGGGGCTTTCAAGAGGGAAAAAGAGAAAGATAAAGCTTTGCAGGCTTTGGCTGCAGAAAATCAGGCAGCTATACGATTGGTATGCCCAAGAGAAATGCCCTATATTTTTAAGTAAATTAGAACTGCAAACAAACTGCCATAGATCAGTTTTTTATGTATTTATTTTACTGCAAGTATAAGATTAGGTTTGGCTAGTAATCTGTTTAAGGGGAACCATATATATCTAAATATTAGTCTATTATACATTCTGAAGATACCAAGATACCAAATTTTTTTAAAATATTTTCTGTTTGTCTTGATTGAATTAGGCAAAACAAAGAGCGGATGAGATACAGGGCCTGAAAATGAGGTTACGGTTCCGGGAAGCAGGAATTAAGAGACTAGAGGCAGTTACTTCTGGAAAGATTTCTGCTGAGACACACTTACTGAAAGAAAAAGAGGAATATTTGAAGGAAATTGAGGTTCTTAGAACTCAGGTTGACCGTAACCAAGAAGTAACCAGATTTGCTATGGAGAACCTCCAGCTTAAAGAAGAAATTAGAAGGCATGCTCTTTTCAAATGGCTCTTTCACTTTGATCCTCAACATTCCTTTTTTTATTTTTTTTATTTCACTTGCTTTTGTTGCAAATTTAAACAGAAGTAAGTTATCCAGGATAACTTATCTTTCTCAAAAAAGTCAGTGACTCATAATTTTGATTTAAACAAAGTTGGAATAAAAATTCTTTGTGTGAGGATAAGATGTTTAAGTTTCAAAGTTAACAGTGAGGAGACCTCCAAATAATTTTCAATTAAATAAGAAAACTAGATTATGCTTCTGTTTTAAAAGCAAAAATCTAGTCTCCTGCTTATTGATTAATTCGGTGTTTCATTCATTTATTTTTGTACTGGAGATGTTTATGAGCATTTATAATTTTTTTTCTTCGGAGCTTTCTTTGGAAGATATAGTTTGTCAAAATTAGTGGGATTCATTTTAACTCTGTTATCAATATTTTATGGGTACCTTAGATTGAGATCATTTTATGAGGAAGGTGAACGGGAGATGATGACTCAACAGATCTCAGACTTACAGAATAAGGTCCAAAATTATTTTCTGAAACTTTTGAACTCTATTAAATTATGTTAATTTTGGAATTTACATGTATCTGTTGATCATATATGCAGCTGCTAGAAGCACTAGATTGGAAATTTATGCATGAATCAGATTCTTCTATAGTTAAGGTACTTTCCTAGCTTTGTTTCTATTTTCACATCAAGCTAATTTAATGTGCCTTTTTTTTAAATTTTATTCCTGTTCGTCTACTTTCTAGAAAGGAAATTCAGATGTGGTAACAGAGGTTTGTGCTAAGGATGATTTACTGATCTCTGGCCAGGTAAATTTCAGATGTGTTTTTCCAGTATGGCTAGCTTCCTTTATGAATTTGCATTTTTGTCAATTAAAACTATGGAATTGACATAATGTAACTTAAATTTTAACAACCAAAAGCTACTTTGCCACAAATTAATTGTTATTGTTATGCAATTTTCCTAGACAAACTCTCCCTCTGTGATTCATAGTTTAACTCTAAGTAGTTGTTTCATGCAAACTTTTTAAATTCGTACTACTTTTGCTGTGACTTCAAGTTGTCAACAATCTTTTCCTATTTTACACAGTAATATAATTTTATTCTACCATTTTATAGTGTCTTTAACTTCTTCAGGGTTTGTAGTAAATGAGTTATCAATAACAGCTGGTTTTTACAACTAGGATTATGACTTCTTGAGTTATTTTAGGCTGAAACAATATAAATTCCCTATATTTCAACAATTTTGTAAGATTCGAGCCAAATTTTAATCTAATTTACAGTTTATCTTCTTGATATTCCACTGAATATCTATGTGGGGATAATAGTACCTTTAGCATTAAATAGTTCCTGACTTCATATAGGTGAATATAACATATATATATTTTTTATTATGACAGGAACCAGTAATACCATGGCGCTCTTCAATTAATGAGGAAAATGAGTTCCTGCGTGTCCAGGTAGATGATGCACTTAGATGAAGATTTTATTGTTGAAATTTGATTTCATCTAAAACAGATAGCTTTCATGTATCACATTAATCAGATGCAGAATTTTTTTACTTTATTAAAGGCTATTCAAAATCAGGCTGAAATGGAAGCACTCCAAAAAAAGTTAGAGTTCTGCCTCAAGGAAAAAGAGAAATTGGAAAGGTGATTGTTTTTATCCTTGTTAGTCTTGTAACTTGAACCATTTAAGTTGCTAGAAGTTTGTTTACATATCTTAATTCCTGGTAATTGAGCCAGTTCCAGCTCATTGATATCTTTTCCCCTTGAGAAGATGATTAGTTGTGTAGCTTCTTTATTGTTTAAGACCATGATTTGACTTTGTTGCCGGATTTTGATGTGTTAATATAAATTTTATTATCTGTCAGCAATGTGAGAGAATTGGTTCAAAAACTTCAAGAAGAGACATCTTCTAGAGAGATGAATGAAGAAAAACAGCATATTGGGCTTTCCACTTTGCCAACTAATCTGCCCATCATTGATTTTAATGACCAAATGGAGCTGAAAACAATGGTTGATGCCATTGCTACTGCAAGTCAAAGGGAAGCGGAGGCTCATCAGACAGCAATTATGTTGTCCAAACAGAATAACGAGCAACGGTTGAGGCTTGAGATCCTTAATGAAGAGAAAATTGAACTGAATAAATTGAATGATGAGCTAAGATTGAAGCTCAAGGTCTTAATTGAGGAAAAGAGCAAACTCATTGAATTGTACGAACGTGCAGCTGCAGAAAGTAACTCTAACACTCAGAATACAGTTGAGCTTGCTCAAGGTGGCATGGAAGAAGAGAATAGTGGTTATCTAGATGAACTTGCTCAAGAAAAAGAGGTTGAGATGAAAAAAGTGATTGAGAATCTAGAGCATCAACTTATGGAAATGCATGAAGAAAATGAAAAATTATTGGGTATGTATGAAAAGGCCATGCAAGAGAGAGATGAACTCAGAAGAACAATTTCTCTTAGTGGACAAAACAGTGCTGAAGTTAAAGGAGAGTTTGATTGCCCAGAAAAGCTTGTTGAAGTTGACGGAGGGGAGCATATTGCATCAGATGGACTTGGTCTCCCTGTTTCGAAGGGGCAGGATAGTGGGGAAAATCCAACTATGTCTGGACAAGTGATTTCCTTAGTGGGTATGCATGATGTGGAAGTGACCTTCGCTGACATGGAAATAGAGCCAATGAAATTTCCTAAGGAGGTCTCAGAAGATATAAATTTGGTCAGAGAGAAGCTGGGAAAAGCACAAGAAAAGCTTTCGGATTCTGCCAATACAGTTACGCTATTTGGTTCAGTTGAGAAGGCATTTGCTGAGGTTGATAAACTTTCAAGAGAAATTAAAGCGATGGAAGAGAGTGTCGAGGTCAAGCAACAACATCTTGGTTCCCTCAAACTTGTTTTCAATGAAATGCAAGAAAGAAAAGCTCTTCTGGATAAAAAGTTGTTGGCATTGAAGTACTCTCTATCAAACTTTTCTTCATCAGTTGCATACTTCGAACAAAGAGAAGCTCGATCAAGGGCAAGAGTAACTGCTTCGTTGACTTACCTGAATCAGAAAAAAGAGGAAGCAGGGCATCTTCAAGCCTGTAAGAGTGAAATTGAGGCTGCTATTAAAAGGGTTCAACGATCAGAAGTTGAACTGAGGAGCAATCTTGCGCTAGTGAAATCAAAACTTGAGGAAGAGAACAAAAGGCAGGAAAATGAAAAGGTTCTATTTGCCATAGATAACATTGAGAAAATTGACCATTCACAGAAAAATTGGCATTTGGGGGGTAAAGCTACTGAGTTGCTGAAGTCGGAGGAAGAAAAAACCAAGTTGCAAAATGAGATGAAGTTGTCTCGAGAAAGACTCGGGGTCGTGAAGAGGGAATTTGAGGATTTGACAAAGAAATCCTGGAAGATAGAGAGTGACTTGCAAACTGTTCAAATGGAAGTACAAAAAAGTTCAAGATCTACAGAGGAAATGGAGCTTGCACTTCAGGCTGTAACCCAAGAGAAGGAAACTCTGTTAGAGATTAGAGAGAAAGGAAAATCAGAAATTGAAAGCATGATTCTTGAATATCAACAACAGGTGTTTGAGGCTGATTTGAAGGAAGCCGAGATGAAGGTTTTGGAGGAAGAATTAAATTCACAATTGAGAAGACTAGAGGAGTTGCAAAAGGTGAGGGCTGCAGCTGCCGAGAAAAATTCCAAAATATTTGATCAAACGAAGTCTCATTCATGCTTGATATCAGGAAAGGTGGAAGAAGAGCTGAAAAGTGCATGGGGATATATCCAGGAGGCAAGGATTTTGTTGGGGCAAGAACAATTAATTGACAGTTAAGCGTTTTGCTTATGTACTGTTGAATTTACATAATTCCACACAATCCATTTTTCATGTAGTTGATCTTTCTGATCAATGATGTGATTCCTGTGTCAGCCAATGTGTAGTTTCTGTTGTTTAATACTAATTTTCTCTGATTTATTTTCACCCTTCAGAAGATGTACTTGCAGTATAAAAATTTGAACTGTTCTTCAAGGCTTTCCGTATCACAGATGGTAACATAAGATGATTGTTACAATCGAATCTCTTTGATAGTGGTATTGCTTTTTGGCTACATTGGGCTTATGAGTTGGTGAAATTAAATGCTACTTTTTTTTTTTAATCATTTAATTAAAATTGTACTTTTGATAGTTTTCTTGTAATTGGGTTGAAAAAATAAGTTGTGATTTGATAAATTATATGAAAATACCAAATAGGATGACAAAGTATTCGAGATGTGAATTTTGGAATAACTTTCGGAATGTGAAGTTTTCTTCGTGTATTGCTCTAAACTAGAGCTAGCGGTGAGTCATGTCGTACCTAAAAATTCAAGGTCTGTCGTGTCGTGGATCGTATTTACCAAGGTTTGTAAAAATTTATGTCTTGTCGTGCCGTGTGACTCGCCAAATTTGAAGGCCCACGGCATGGCTTGTCATATAGCGTGTCGTGGGCCTAGCACACGAGTCGGCCCACAATTTTTTTTAATATTTATAAATTTTTTTGATCACTCAAATATTTTTTTAATATTTAATATTTAATATTTTAGTTCACAAATATTAAAAATTAAATATTCAAAGTAAATGATACAACTATCTTAACTTTGATTCTAGTTTATTTCTTCATTAGAAATACAAATATATAAATATAAATATTCAAAGTAAATGATTGATAAAAAAAAATCATACGTCTTCATTTTCATTAATTTCTAAATTCTTAAAATCTTCAATTACATTCTCAACAACACAATATTGAAGCTTGAAATCTACTGCCATCCAATCTTTCATACACATAAGGGTTTTAACAACATTTGAATGTAAACTTGATCTTCTCTTGTCCAATACACGTCCACCTGCACTAAAAGTTGATTTTGATGCTACAGTAGAAATTGGAGGCATTAGTAAATCATGTATGATAGTGGTTATAGGATAAGTATTTTTGATGTGCTTTTCACCATCGAAGAATATCAAATTGATCATTTTGAATCATAATTTCAGCCAAATGATTCATGGTTAAATAATTTGTAGTTTCACTATATGAAGAGCTTGCACCTATCGATTGTTTACCTTTAGTGATGATAGATCAAATACGCTCTTTACCTCTGGAGGAACTTGAACTTGATGGTGGTTGTATATTTGTCGTGTTTTCACATTTGACTTCATAATTTGAATACGTTTGAAGTAATAAAGCTCTAACATTATCTAATTTTTTTTTTTTTAAAGGGGTCTCTAGATTTGCTGAAATTTCTTCTATCATATTATTTACTCCTGATAATTTTACCCTAGGGTCCATTACAATAAATAAACCAAACAGTATAGAAATTTTTTCCCAATATTTTCTAAATTTTTGTTTCCATTTTTTTTTTTTTTTTTTTTTTTTGCAATATCTCAAATAACTGCATGATTTTTATATTCTTTAAAAAAAAAAACTTATTTCCATTATACTATATAAGACTAAACAAGTTGTAGGATAATAAATACCAAAACATTTTTTAGTAGCATTATTTAAATGTTTTAAAATATTCATTAAGGAAAAACCAAGTTCCCAATGATTTTTAGTCAATTGATGATCATGTTGTTTTGTATTAAAAACATTGTGTAATAGCATTTTCATATGATTCACAAGATTTTAACAATAAATATGTGGAGTTCCAACGAGTCCTAACATCAGTTTCAAATTTTTCTTTTCTAACCCCATTTGCTTACACAAACTAGGATATTGTTGTAAACGTGAAGGAGATGATAAAATAATGATGAAATAAATGTAATTGTATGCCTAATTAAAGATATTTCTTTTTCAATTGATTTTAATCCATCTTGTGCAATTCAATTTATTATGTGACAAACACATCTAATATGAAAATTGACTTTCATAAGGTGGATTTTATTGTTTTGACAAAAAATCAATAACTCTATCATTTGATGATGCATTATCAAATGTGATAGAAAAAAAATATTATTTATTTCATATTCACTAAAAAATTTAGCAATTCTTCATAAATAGTTATGCCAGTATGTGGATTTCTTTTAAATATATGAAATGCAAGAATTTTCTTTTCTAGTTGCCAATCTAAATTAATAAAATGACCCGTTACACAAATATATCCTAACTCTTGGTTAGTGGTCATCCATAAATCAGAAGTAAATGAAATAACTCTATTAAATTTACTAAGTGTATTTTTCATATTTATTTTCATTTCATTGTAAATTCTAAAAATATCAGCTTTTAAAGTATTTTCAGGAACTCTCCTAAACGCAGATTGTATACTTCTTTGCATATACCATTCTAAAATTGGATCATCACCATATGAAAAAGGTTGATCGGTTGCGATAACGCCATATGGTCCCTCATGTTTTATTGACTATATGTGAAGCTAGAAATCTTGCCTATTATAATATTTGATTGACTAGTAGATGAATCACATATCATGCAAGTGCCCTTGTAAATGAAATTTGTTGTTGCCCTTTTAAATGTTGTGGCATTTTTTTGCAATGCTTATTTATATGCCTCCAAAGATGCCCAATGCCACTCATACTCGCACCAGCCAAACTAGAAGCACAATATTTTCATGTTGTACGTCGCACGATTTCACCACGAACTGTTTCTTGTGTTTGAATAAAATGCTCCCAAACCATGGAC